CCGCCTGCCCCGAGGCGGCTGCGGCACGAACAGCGTCAGCACGCGCGGCACGACGGCGGGCGGCCTGCTTCTTGGGGCCGAGCAGGATGCCCTCCTCGGCGCGGGCAAACCGGCGCCGCCCAGCGGCCTTCGGCCAAAGGCCACGGGCGATCCGCTGGAGGTAGTCTCGCCCAGTCCTCGAGGGGCGCAGAGGACAGCACGAGCGAAGGCCTCGCCCCAGCAGGCGGCCAGCAGCCGCCGTGAAGAACCCGCACCTCAGGCAGAACCAAACGTCGAGGCTCTGGTGCAGCCGCATCAAATGCGAGGAGTGCGGGAGGCCGCCGCCGATGTGCACGTCGTCGTCGACCAGCTTGAGCGCGTGGGCCCCGTCGCGCTGCAAACCAGGGCACCGCGCCTCCAGCCACTGCGAGCGGGTCGAACGCGACGATGAGCACCTGCACCTCGTGCAGCTGCCGTGGCTGTCCAGCACATGGGTCGTGCTGAAGGCTGCGACCAGGCGAGCTGCAGGAGGAGCTCGTCTCCGCTTCCTGGCTCGCCGCACTGGAGGAGCCAGGCCGTTCTCCGCTTCGATGGCGTCGAGGGTGGCTCGCAGCAGCCGCCTCCTGACCAGCGTGGCCATGTGCTCCGTCTGGTGGACGCGAACGCGATCAGGGGCTGCGACGCGAACTGCATCAGCCGCTGCACCAGCCAAGGTGTCGGCAACCGCGTTGCCGATGACCAGCCAGGGGGGAATCCGCATCCTGAAAGCCTCGGGCATGACCAGGTGCGAGTACACGTGCTCCACGGCGAAGTCCGATCTGGGCCTGCTCCTGCTGCTGAAGGTCTGCGCGAGGAGGCCCCGCAGGTCGCTGTCGTCGCCGTGCGGCTGCAGGTCGCGACGCCTCCACCAGCCCTCGCAGACGGCCAGGTTGTCCGAGATGTAAACCGCGGGGCCGAGGGAGCCAAGACCTCCGTCGACCAGGTGGACTCGAGCGACTGCCAGGCCCACGCGACGGAGATGAGGGTCCTGCCCCTCTGGCCCTCCGCTGGCGTCGCCGAAGAGGACGAGCGGGGCTTCCTCGGTGCCCTGCCCCAAATCACCAGGGGCCAGAGCGACGGCCTGCTGGCCGTCCAAGAGCGTCCAGAGGTCGCGATCGCGAGGGGCGGCGACCTCAGTCCAGCTGCGCGGGATGATGCCGCGGAGCCAGAAGGCCGCGTGCGCATCCTGGTCCGCGGCGGCGCGGGGCAGGAGCTCGCTGCTGTCGTCGTAGGCCTTGCTGCCGACGTTGCAAGGACAACTCCAGCACCGATGTAAGGGAGTCCCCCCCTCGCCGCCGCATCTCGGGCAGCTGGCGCACTCCATGTCGCCGAAGGTCTCCTTCTTGCGCGACCTCGGCCAGGCTCCGCCCACCGCGATGGCGGCGAGTAGCTCTTCGAGCGCAGGCCCTCCATGAAGACGCCTGAGCCGCTGCAGGTGGGCCTGAAGGGAGCGCAGATCGGCGCCTGCCTCCAAGCCCGCGCCGCACCAGTGCGTGGCGGCGCGCTGCCACAAGTCCTCCTGGATGGA